TAGTGTTAATGAATTGATTTTTGATAACGAAATGTTTTAAATGTCAAAAATTAATGACTAATTGAAAATATATTTATCTAAAAAATATGTAAAATAAATACTTAAAAATAATATTGTTTTAATTGATTAAACTTTTATTTTTGTTTTAAAACTTTATGTTTTAATTGATAAAACTTTGTTATAAGGAAATTAATTAAATAAATAATTAAATATTTTGTATTACAAAAATAGTAATTAAGTTACTGTACGTATAATAATTTACAAATAAACTCTTATGAAATCACACGAACGCACATAACAGGGGTATATGATTATTTTTCTAGAATACAATTCTTAGTCGTACAAACTAATGTTAAAACTCATTTATGACATTAAACTTAAGCATTGAAAAATGTATTTCAACTTATTGAAAAACACTCATTTTTGTGATTTTTATATCAAATGCCAGCAAATACTATGAATGAGTTTTTAACATTATTTTCAACGTCTAAGAATTGTATTCTAGAATAATAATCATATCGTCTCTAATAGTGTCATACTATCATATACTGTACACTTCATCTACTGAACAGTGTAGACAATTACACAATCATTTATAATGTAAATTAAATTCTACATGTACATTCTAAATGGTTTGGCCCTAACCTAAACCATCTGGATTTTGTGTGAGCAAATAATTTTCTTATATAACAACCGCTACAATAAAACATTGCAGTTATAAACCGTAAAGCATAAGGTTAACAATCACTGAAATGCATACAACAACAACAATCCTGGTAATTGTGGCCCTATTGACCATCAGCGCTTATATAGTGTCGGCCGATCCAATTCGTATGTATTATATTTAATACAATTACTATATATTAACGCATTTAATAATTTATTATTATTATCAACACTTCAGCTGAACCGGAGCCTAACGCCAACCCAAACCCGGAACCTGAGCCCAAAGCCATTGCGGATCCCGAAGCCATTCCCGATCCCGAACCAATTCCTTGTCCCGAACCCATTGCAGATCCCACAAATTTTGGCTCTGGTACTAAATGTAATCATCCTCCTTGTGATTCTGATTAAAAATTTATATATGAATAATTTATAATTACCAAAATGTTTAATTAGCTATGTTTGAATTAGTTGCAATAAACTCAATGGTAATGCAATAAAAATTAAAACACTGTACAAACTTTTATTACAATCATTGATAATAATCTCTACTATCTAATAACACGATGAACGATAGTAGATTAATGTGCAAATTATATTCTTGGTGTACACCAAGAAATCTCTCCTTGCATTTTGATTATAACAAATTCTATGACAGCAAAGTAAACATACAATTACTATTTAAGACAGCCTAATAATAAATGTATTGTGTTGTCCTATCCCATTTGTCAATACATGTAAACCTCCCGATTTCGAATTGATTGGGACACAAATGTTTGTTCGAGTTTTATAAGTTTCGATTTATAAAAAGTTTAAGTTATGGAAAAATATTAGATTATTTTAAATAATTTATTTATAAAAAAAAGTTAGAGTTATAGAGTATTTTATTTTTATTGACAATTTTGTGCTGTTATTCAACATATTATCTAGATATTAAAAATAATTGTTGTAATTAAAATTGCAAATTATGAAAATATTAAATAATAAATTGTCATATTTAAATTACAAATATTTATCTAAAGTATATATATTTTAAATGTTGGTAAAAATGTGAGTACTGTTCGGTGCAGTAAAAGATCTGTGAAAATAGTCTTCGTTTCGGAATACAGAGATTCGAGTTAGTGATTGTAAAATTACAATTTTTGAGTGCCGGTGCCGTTCCAGTTGTGGAGGTTTTTATAGTGTGGTGTCTTTGGGAATGAGATGAGACAAAATGCATATTCTGTTACCAATGCATTTTAGGTCATCTATTCCTATAAGTTAATGTAAACTTTATTACACAACTTATTAATATAATAGACTTACTGTAATTATATTTAAGCATCAAACAGATTATCTAAATTACACAATATTAATATAATACTAATATTAATTACTAATTTTTAACTGAAAGTAAAAATTATATTTGATTTATAATATTCTGAATATTACGACATTTTTATTGAAATTTAAAACGAAATTATTGATATAATTGCCGATTAATTTCAAACATCCCGTATTTAGACACACATAGCACCACAATAAACAACCTGGGGCGGATATGACCGTATTGGTTGTAAATAATATTGTAATATTACATAATATATTACATAAACTATTTAATTGAATTGAATTTATTAACATTTAGACACGTAATGCATTCAACATAAGTTGATTTCCGATACAGACGTGTTATGGACTACAATCAATTATTTTAAAAAACATTGTAAGACAAAATATTAAATAATGATAACTTAATAATCATATCCAATAATCTAAATAAAATAAATTAAAAATGTAGACATTTTGGAAAAGTTTTATCTGACAAAGTCTGATGCAAACACTGATGCAATTCATTTTAAGTGCAGTTAGATTACAAAGGCAGTGAATGTACAACATTAGCACAGGAATGACACCGGGGGTACTTTAACTATTATTCTTGATATTAATTAATTTTAACATTTACACTTTATTTTATTCAATAAAAATTAACTTGATATAATTTAATATAAATAAACCTAATTAATATCTAGTTTAATAATGCAATTTTAATCCATTGAAAAACATGTTTTAAAGGACTGGGTTGGTTTAGTTTTCTACATATTCTCTACATATGCCTGTTATTAAAATTTGAATGATTTGATAAATTTTATCAACAATTTACCCATTTTAAGATATACAGTGCATTGAGAAACTAGTATCACATGCTATGTAATAAACTGATGTGTAATTGTAATTGTAAACTGAAATGTAACATGCTATGTAATTCCCATTTTAATATAAATAGCTCTCAAAATATCTTTAATTTTACCAATTCTTAGATATTTACGGAACCGATCGTTAAAAAAAATTATAAATTTGTTGTAAAATAATGGGTGTGTTTGCCGTCGGAGAAAAACTCAGTTTCCAGGAAACCCAGAAACACGCGGAACACATCCGAAGGCATGGAATCAAACAATTTATTAATATTTATAATCGAAACAAAGACCGAATCGACCGGTGCTTCAAATGGGGCGATGAGATCGAGTACGTGATCGTCCGCTTTGATCACAACAACCAAAAAGTTAGACTCAGTTTACGTTCAAAACAAATACTCGATGTAATGGATGTGAGGGAAGAGAAAGAGGGGGCGAACCGTCGGGTGCTGTGGAGACCAGAGTACGGCTCGTTTCAGATCGAGGNGTTAGACTCAGTTTACGTTCAAAACAAATACTCGATGTAATGGATGTGAGGGAAGAGAAAGAGGGGGCGAACCGTCGGGTGCTGTGGAGACCAGAGTACGGCTCGTTTCAGATCGAGGCCACACCCGGACAGCCGTACGGCTATAATAACGAACTGAATGGCGAAAACTCAATGAATAATGTGTTTAATAACGTGGAGAACAATATGAGAGAACGACGACTCGATATCAAGGCCTTACTCCATGAAGACGAGGCACTCCTATGTCTTACACACCATCCGAGGTATGTCTGCGAAACACAATAATATCAGAATTAAATTGAATTAAAAATGCATTTATAATACAGACTCGGATGTGAGGACACAACTGTACCCTTCAGTAAAGCCGACCCATTGAACAGCGCCTCCAAAAGTATCTTCGTATCCGAGGCCCACATCTGTGAGGCATACGAGCGGTACTTAGTTATGGACCGATACTATGCCCAACGCATCGGACATAAAGCTGTCATAAATACTCCCATTTTTAAAGACACCAAAACTCCGGACCCTTTCGTCGAGACATTCAACGACACGGAGTCTAATAGAGCGGCAAAAGTGGATCACATATATATGGACGAGACTTTGTTTGGTGCGGCGGCCAGTTGTCTACAGGTATGCTTATGACTGCAACATAGGAAAAATTATCGTAAAAATGATTAAAACATAATTATAAAAATACACTTTACTTTAGGTAACAATGCAGGCGACAGACGTGTCCGAAGCGTTCACTCTATACGACCAGTTGACTCCATTAACGCCCATAATGTTGGCTTTGGGCGCCGCGACCCCTATTTTCAGGGGCTATTTGACGGATAATGACTGCAGACTTGGCGTCCAATTGGAGTCCAACGACGACC